GAAAATGGTGAGACGGTGGCAGCACCCTTAATATGCGAACAGTACTCGAAGCTAGGTCTTATCTGGGCTTAGTACAAATGAGGAGTTTATGTGGAGAAAAGTACTTCTTAGACCTGAACAAATAGCGTAGCTTTTTCTCAGCAACTGAAACTACTGACGAGATGTGTTCGTGCCAGATCAAGTCCGACCAGCCAAAATAAACAGCTATTTGGTAGCCGCGCTTCTTGTTAGTCAGCGTAGAGGAATGTATCTTAGAACCATTGAACTGTACCAGATTGTTGCATCGTCAAGCAGTGATAACCTGATAATTTTCAGGTCAGACAGGAACTCGCTTTTCTCCAGCTCAGAGCCGGTAGAGATCGGATTGTCTCTCTGAATTCCTGTCATCAGCAAAACTGTAGGTTGGATTGATCGAACAGGAACGGAGGTCATCTATTTGTGAGAAGAACATTGTCGGAGCCAAGATCGATAACTGGGGAGCACCCCCGTTGATATGTGGGATGAAGCATCTGCAAAGCTTCTTTCGTGTAGGATGGAAGTCTATGAATGCCTCTTGGGCAGCATATCACAGTTGATAGAACACTTTCGCAATATCAAGAGAAACGACATAAGCCTCACCATAATACTGGTTGAGCTTACTCCACAGTTGCGTGACGTAAGCTAGGGAGTCCCGTGTCGTTTCCTGATGCCGGAAACTATACTGCCTGTCAACCTTCAAGCCTTCAAGGTACTCCAGAAGCTCCCAATTTATGCACCTCTCCATCACCTTACGTATAACAGAGCTATAGGTCTTCGTAAGATATCTGGTAGAGACGCGAAAGACCTGGAGCAAGCTCCGCACATTTCTTCAGTACAACGGCAGGATTTAAATCTGGACCAGAAGTTTTGTGGATGCAGCCGCTCCCGTCTTATGGTCTTATGCCTGGAGGTAAAAGTAGATGATGTACTTCAATACAGAAACCCACGTGAATGATGAGCGGACATCTTAACGCCAGCAACCCCAAAATTTATCTACTGCTATTTGCGCGTCAGTTTTTTAGTAATGTTCCATACAAGTAGAGGAGAGGGTATAAATATGGGCTACCATTTTATTTAATTGGCATATTTGACACATATTTGGTCTATATGGCTCAACTTTTTTTTTCTCGGATAAGCTGAACCTAATCTAACATGATGCTGTCAGTTTTTATTTTTTTTACATAAACCTTATTCGATTTTTTATATGTTTAAATAAAATTGGCATCATAAAAGATATTGAGATAGTGATACAAATATGGGCTACCAGAAAAAATACCTACACATGGTAACTAAGAGCTTTATTCAAGAGCAAAATTTTGAAAAAACAGAAGCAGTTGGCAAGAACACATGAGATATTATCCAGTGCGACAAAAGTCACAAACATAATCATCTTTATCAGCACCTGCACAATCGACATGACACCACATATTGCACATTAAACATTGAACCCATAGTTCTCCTTTGCGGTCTTCGGAAAATTTACTTTCACAAAAGATGCATTCCGCATCTAAATCATCTGGTTCCTTTTGTCCAGGCAGATGATCCAAATCTAAGTCATCATCTGCTAACATCAGCTCTGTTTCATCGTCATCACTTTCAGATTCTCCTAAAGATTGCTGCTTTTTATTCTCCTTCGAAGATATGGACGATCTCTTTTTGGTTGATTGAGAAAACACCTTTTTTTTAATAGATTTAATCTTTTGTTTATTTTTATTGGCAGTGCTCAACAATAATTCATCTTTGTAAGGGGACGAAGTAATTACTGCTGCTTGTGATGCTTTCCTACCCCTATTACTTGTTTTTTTTTTAAGATCGGAACTGGTGAAATATCGAAGGGAGTCACCATTTTTTTTTTGATCCCAGATGGTCCAGGCTGAACGCTGTCGTGATTGAGTAGCTCTACATCAGATTGAAATTTACCACTTGGCCCGGGTTGAACGTTGTCTAGACTAGGAGGCTCTAGATCTGATTGAGATGTGCCCAGTGTGCTCTGATCGAAGTCATTTTCAGCGGTACAGTGTTCTGTTCCTTTTTCTATTTCGGCTGCAAGAAAGTCCACTTCGGAAAAAATATTCCTGTTAATCGGAAAAATTCCAGTAACGCGGAATCCTTTTACGGCGATTTCTCCAGTCTGACTTTTGAGATAAGCCCTTCCCAAAAGTTCGCCCATATCATATTGGGTTAAGGGACGATGATTATGACGAATCCATTGTCTAATCTCTTCGCTGTAGTAAGATTTTAATGTACCCATGAAAGTTTTGTCAAGAGGTTGCAATTTATGTGTTGAATGAGGGGGTAATGAGATTATGCAAACATGATTTTCTCTCGCCATAATAACAACCTCTAAATTACGGGTATGACTATAATGTCCATCTAAAATTAGAAGAACAGGTGAAGATGCAGTTGGTTTTACCGTGTTGATGAAATGTTCGAACCACTGGGCGAATAATGAGGCCTGAACCCATCCACTTGGGTGAACTGCTGATATTGATCCTGGAGGAGTGCCTTTCATTAATTGCACATTCATATTTTTTCTAGGAAATATGAGCATCGGTAGAACGAAGTCTCCCCCTGCATTCATGCAGGTAATCAAAGTGATTAAAGACCCCCTTTCTAATGATGTTAAAGATGCAATTTGTTTTTTGCCCTTACGACCAACCACTTCAGCCACTTTATTTTGCACAACAGTTAGACCAGTCTCATCTACATTAAAGACGCGATTAGCTGGGAAATTGTGGTCTTCATATGCTTTCTCCAAAAGTGTAAAGAAGTTGTCCACACTCTCTTTGTTGAACCCTTTGGCACGTGCAAATGATGTCCCAGTAGGTTTTCTAACCGACAAAATTTTGTGTCTTTGCAAAAATAGATCTAACCAGCCCCTTCCTGCTGTTTGTGTATTCCCAAAAGGATGCCTTATGCCGTTTTCTTCTGCTAAGTAAAATGCCATACGTTTAACGTCTTTGCGGGTTAAACCATAGAACTTGGCTTCCATTTCAAGAATATAGCGAACTAATGATTCTTCCAATTCCAATTCATTTTGGCCAATCGCTGCACTGTAGTTCTTGGAACGCCATAAGTTTTAGCTGCCTTTAGAGTACCCATAGTTTTTTCTCTTACCGCTTGAACAGCCCTTTTCATATGGTCTACATCCCATGTCTTCCGTTTCTTGGCGTTCAACTTGGGACTAACAATAGCTTTTCTGCGTGGCATTCTAAAACAAGGTTCATGATTTCTACTACTGTTACAAATATGGGCTAGCCCATATTACAAACGTAATACCAGCCCATATTGCACATAACCTCCAAAAAGTTTGAAACTCCACAAATATTTTATATCTTATATCTGGGTAAAATTAAAAACAAAATCTAAAAATACGAACCTTATTTTCAATTGTAAGCTATAAAAATCCAGTTAAATTCTAAACCCTACTTGGTTACAGCGACAAATAACCACCACTGCAAAACTTATAAACACTGATAAAGACCAAATCACACGAAACTGAATTGCATATGTGAAAAGAAGAATTCTGTGATCAGCAGGCGGTTAGGTTCTCTAAAGAGCATCTGTTTGATACATTACTCGATAGATGACTCTAGGTGCATCAGAAATATCAACGTAGCCCATATTCCCCGCCTAGCCCATATTTGTACCCTCTCCTCTACACCCGCCATGTAATAGTGTTCCGTAATCGCCTCCAAGTCTGACTAGATATGTTCATTGAACGGTTTTATTTACTTCATATCACTTTGATTACCAACGGGGTTTTTTCTTTTTTAATAAAATATATAGGAATATAAATATTTTTTTTCAATGCATTTCGCCTCAGATTAACGTAACATAATTTAACATAGAACCCAAGACTAAATAAATATGTAGGTAAATATCGTCAGTCACCGATGACTGATACGTGGTTAAGATCAATGGTTAGCCATTAAAGTGTTTAACTACCTCTACCGTAATTTCGCCTTTCTAGTTTTTTTAGCCAATCATAACTTATTGCTATAAGCAACTACGCCCCTGCTGAATGTGGCTGTCTAGATTGGCTGTGGACCTGTAGATCATCTGTCACATCGTCGTAATGGTAGCAGAGCAGTAACATCCAGTGCACCTTCTGTTTATAATTGTGTTCGTGATATATTCAATTACTGTTGGCTGAAAACCGCGGCTCCGCAGATATTTTAGGCGACTATTGTCGATAATGGCCCACAGATATTACGCTACTGTCACCGTTAGTTGTTTCTTATGCCAAATGTATATCTTGCTTTTACATGCACAGTACCATTTGGTGGAATATCCGTTGGGGTGAAATAATAATCAACCTGACAACATTTACTACATGATAATGTAACGAAAGCACATATTCAATAAGCAAACTAATTTATTACTACTTAACATTACTAATTTATATCACAAATTTATAACAGAGTTGTTCATGTCATAAATTTTCAGTAAAATGTTATTTAGTTTTGAGTTCTCTTGGTTGGTGCATACGACCTTAAATTATTGTAATCGTAGAGGAGAAGGTCTAAATATAGGCTAGGGTCTAAATATAGGCTACTTGATACTGTGGTTTCCTACTTACTGGCAAAGAGAAGGCAACAGCGCACAATGATGTCTCGTCAGTCAAACCGTTGGCGGTAAAAAATCGGTTGTGTTCATTTGACATGTGTAGATGTTATGTTCCACGGTGTGCTATATCCTGTGATTTAGCGACTCGGAAAGTTTATAAGGTATGTTTATTTTCTTTTTGACACTGTGATCTTTTGAACTTAGAACTGATCTATTTCATTAATGATTTTAGTGACATACTAAGGTTATTCTTACATAGGTTACATTTGCTATAATGTTGTTCACTAATATTTGCCACACACCTATTCTTTTTGATAACGATGGTCCAAATATAGGCTACAAAGTGTGGTCCGAATTTGGGCTAGCCCGAATTTGGACCTTTATTTAGTATTACGACTTATTTTGGTTTCAGAATGCCGCGCAACAATCCAAAATATGTCAAGAAAGATAAAAGGAAGTCGTGGAAGAAAGAAGACATGGAAACAGCAATTACAGTGGTTCGAGAAAAAAAGATGGGAACCTTAAAAGCGGCAAAAACTTTTAATGTGCCTCGTACAACCCTACAAACTTTGAGTAAAAAACTTGACCTTACTCCAGCACAAGCAGTTTGTACTAAGCTTGGGCGAAAGCCTTACTTGGGTGAAGACTTGGAAAAAGAGTTAGTTTCCTACTTACTCATAATGGAGCAGAAGTTTTATGGGTACACTATCCGAGATTTGCGCAGAATGGCTTATCAAATTGCAATTAGAAATCATCTTGAAACGCCATTTAACCGTAACGAGGCCGGCAGATCTTGGGTGGATCTTTTTTTAAATCGTCATAAAGAGCACCTATCTATTCGGAAACCATGTGGAACATCTTTCTCAAGAGCTTTAGGCTTCAACAAAGAGAATGTTCAGAGTTTTTTCAATATGCTCGAAGAGGCTTACGAAAAACACAAATTTCCAGCTGAGAGAGTGTTTAATGTTGACGAAACAGGACTTTCTATTGTTCAAAGCAAAATTCCTCATGTCATTGGTCGAAAAGGAAAAAAGCAAATGCATCCTTGACTTCTGCAGAGAGAGGTTCTACCGTAACGATAATTGCATGCATGAGTGCTTCTGGAGTTTTCGTCCCTCCTCTAGTGATCTTCCCAAGGACAAATATGACTCAAATCCTAATGAAAGGATGCCCTCCAGGTTCAATAGGGAGAGCTCACCCCTCAGGATGGGTTCAAAGTAATATTTTTACAGACTGGTTTGCTCATTTTATTGAGAAAGTCTGTCCGACAGAAAACTCGCCAGTTCTGCTGATTTTGGACGGACATTACAGTCACGTCCGAAATCCAGATTTAATTGACATGGCCCGAAAGAGCTTCGTGACAATAATTTGTCTTCCACCGCACTCTACACATAAACTGCAGCCGCTCGACAAGACATTCATGGGACCATTAAAAGCTTTTTATAGTGAGGAAGTAAGACAATTTATTAGACATTCAAACCGCGCTGTTACACCATATGACATCATGGAGCTCTTTGGGAAAGCTTACCTTAAGGTCCAGACGGGAGATATTGCAGTCAATGGTTTCAAGGCAACCGGAATTTTTCCTTTGAACAAAAATATTTTCACAGAGGCTGATTTCATAGCCTCTGAAATCGAAGCAGAGAAAACATGCAATGCACCCCAGGCTGATCAGTCAAAGGTGGTAGGATCTACATCATCTTCCCATGCATCATTTTCTCAATGCTGCTCTTCAAGCACTCCAAAGAATCTACCTGGACCATCGAAGCAAATTAGCCCTTTTCAAATTGCCCCAGTACCCAACATCAAGAAAAAGGTCACAAATCGTGGTCGCAAGTCTTCAAGTGCTTGTGTGATCACAGATACACCATACAAAGAAGAGCTTTCGAAGAGCCTAGAAAAGTCTGCAGCGAACATGAGCAAAAAAAAATTGCTATTTAACGATTTTGATGGCTCAAAAAAAAAGAGCAGCAATAAGATGACAAAAAGACCAAAAATAAGCTCAAAACCGGAGTCAGAATCTTCAGATTCTGATGGTGACTTACCCGACGACAGTTCGAGTGACATTGAAAGGCCTAATGGACATTACCCAGACGATGAGGATGCAAGTTGCTTATTTTGCAATGGAATGTTTTCAGAAGACACTAGAGGAGAAGTTTGGGTGAAGTGTTTTCAGTGTTTTATGTGGGCACATAGTGACTGTGCGGGTGCTGAAAAGGACATTTACATATGTGACTTTTGTAAATAAGTTTTATATTTTGTCTCCAAGACTTTTTGTCGATAAACTTGTGTTTATTGTTTCAAGCCTGACGTAATGGCGATAAGCATTTGTGCAACAGTTATTATTTGGTTTTATAGTTTAAACTGTTTTTTTAATAATATGATTATTGATAACATTTCATACCTAGAATATCTTTTTTTGAAATACTGTGAAACCACGGGCAATATCTAGATGTATTTTGATGGTAGCCCATATTTGGACCCTACCTGCAAAATCTTGTATTTTACCTTTTATAGAAATAAATATTGTAAAGTGAAAGCTTTTCATATTTAGACTATTTTTTCCCGGTATTATTACATACATATGTTCCAGCTATGCTATACTAGGCCTAATATTAAAACAAATATGAACATTGTATTTTAAATAAATAAAAACAAAGCACCAGCCCGTATTTAGACCTTCTCCTCTACTACACAAGTTCACAATAAAAAATATCTTACCATAGAAGCAGTCATGTCAATAATGATGATTCATGGACATAAGTATTTTTCTTTTTCAGTCACCACTGATTCCCGTTTATTAAATAATATTTAATAAGATACAAATCTTTCAAAACGCTATTTGACTCTATTTTCATAGAAAAAATGAGTACAGTATTTTTCTCAAGAAAACGATGTATAAGTCCAACCTAAATAAGGTTTATTTCTTATTTTCAAAACAAAGCGGTTAAAACACTATCGGCCATGTTGTGACATCATTGAATTGGTGAACAAAGAAAACGTCATTCGTATGTCATTCGTGAACTAACGTTGTCTTCTTTAAATATATCTGAAATACTCCTAATCAACGTAAAAGTTATCGTTTTCTAATTTTATTGAAACAAAAAACATTTCGGATGTTGGATTCGTAAAAGCAGAAAGCACATGTTTTTCGAAAATTGACACATTGATGGATGATATTTTTTTGGATTCAACCCAGATTTTTGCTCTACTGAGCTGAGGAACATCAAGACTTCTAAGCAAGTGCAGTGCATTTCATATAATGGTGGACATTAAAAGAAAGAAGTCATTCAAAACTGAGCGTCATAACCTCTGAATAATTTTATCCAATATGATATTTCTTCTTACACATCTGCAGGGGATTGTACGGCGATGACGCCGTAAGTTACGTCCAACTTAAACCACGCGATAACATCTGCACAGTAAATTGTAGAATATGTACCGACTATAAGGTAAGCTCCAAGCAATTCAGAGTGTTATATTTATTTCCCAGGACGCTCCAATCCACAGCCGTCTATCACTATATTTTTCATGTAAATTAGTAGAAGCAATGTTTATATGTTCAAAAGTTTGAGAGGTTATGCTACTGTCAGATGCTGTTTATAAATTATAAATGGTCAGATGACATTAATATGGGCCAAACAAGGCGAACAGCGTGTTAGCCTAAGAAAAATATATTTTTAAATTAAAGTCTTTAAGGTCTAAGGAACAAATATTAACTTTTAACACCTACTTGAAGAAAGTGTCAGCCTATTACCCTGGTTACGAGATTTTTCGATATTTTATTCACACAGTTCTCATAAATATTTAATAAGGTGGACGATGGAAGGCTACTTTAACAATAAATATATAATTACTATTCCTTTATTCACTGGATAAATGCAACAAGTAGTACTTTGATTTATTAGGTATCTTAGGAAACATTTTTTATTTGCAGAACCATTTCCTTTGAGTTTTATTAATTTCTTCCGAACTGCAAGGAACAGGACCGTTATAATGAATTAGTCGTCGAACTTAAAACTTGATTTTGTGATCAAAATATCTGCTTATATTAATTAAACTATATATAAAGGTAAAAATTAAACATTAAATACTTTTAAATGCCATGAAAATAATTTTGAAGAGTATTGTTCATTGATATTAAATATGTTGCCAATAATAAAATAAATAAAATTCTAAACAGACTGAAAATACTTTCTTGTTATTCTTTGTATGGTCAAATAGCGTTAGAAATCTTCAATTCAGTAAATATTGAGTTGGTACAATCTAAAACCGATAAAATACACGACATTCCGCTATAATTCTGAACTAACGATTAATGCGTGATTACTAGATGTTCCTGACAAGCTCCTGGTGATCTAGCAAGGCGAACTGACAATTTTTTGGCCGGTTTTACAAGCAACTGCTGGCCTTCCTAGGAACACTACCAATGTGTTAACTAAGACGGAAATTAACGGGGCTCCTACAATCACGAGCACCATCTGCTGAGGTAACGGGGGGGGGGGTGAAAAGGAAACGAACGAGGGTGGATTGGGCCTAGACGGTCGTCGACGCTACTTTAAAAGAGGAAAGGATGACTGCGGGTGCATACCAAAGGGAAATTTTTATAATAACAGAGATTTCGATTAGCGATCTAGAATTAAATCGTTTCTTATTTTGGTACTCAGCAAGTGATCATTTAGTATTTTTCTCCCCTTGTTGCTGTTCGTCGATATTGTGTTGTTGAATTGTTGATGGTGTGATTGTTCTTGAGTGCCTTTTTTTATCAAGGCTGATAATGGACAATAAAGGATCATATGCGACCATTTAAATTACGAATGCAGTGAGTTTAATTCATGATGAGGTCAACAATAGTGTGGAGCAAAATACATTGGGGTAAGCGAATAAATTATTGCAAGAAGAGGTCATACCATGGAAGATGGGCTGCAGCTGTAGTGAGCCACAATAACCAGCGGCCAGTATATGTGGTCTAAATACATTTGCGTCCTAAGCTTAGTCCAACCTCGCTTATCGCTAAGATGGAACAAAGACTCAAACGCAAGAATCTTGAAAAGAAACTCAGACCAATGAAAGCTGATATACTAAGTGACATATAAATCCGAACACCCAGTTTAAATGGTTTTATTTTAATAAAAGTTGGTGAATGTATTTATCTTACTGTAAATAACAAGTGAAAAAATTTTCAGCCTTATCAGTTGGACATTCCGGTTTTTATACTGCTTTTTTTTAATTCACTAACGCTCTAAAAATGAATATTTCAGCCGCAGTAAAGAATCCACGTTGGCGGATTTTGGTTCTTGACATCCTTTACGATCGGTTACGATGCCTACAGTACGGAGACTACGATTTCGTCAACTTAGTGAGTTTGATAGGGGCCGTATAGTGGGACTTCGGGAAGCTGGACCTTCTTTTCGGGCAATTGCAGTTAGAGTGCAAAGAAGTGTAGACACTGTGGTTAGGTGTTGTCAGGCATGGCTTCGAGAAGGCCCTACGCAAAGAGCAAGAGGCACTGGACGCCGCCGTAGAACAACAGACCGTGAAGATCGCCGCCTAAGATAATTGGCCTTAAGGGACCGTTTCTCCACTACCAGGTCCATTGCAAATGAATGGTTTGCAGAACACGGAAGACCTATTGGCATGCGAAGTGTTTACGGACGAATGAGAAGTTTTGGCTTGTTTTCATACCGGCCACACTGGGTCCTCCCTTTAACTCGAGAACACCAACGTAATCGCCTTGAGTGGTGCAGACAACAGTCACTCTGGGATCAGGAATGGAACAGTATTGTCTTTAGTGACGAGTTTCGATATGTTTAGGCATGCAGGATGGTCGTGCCAGGTTTAGAAGGCGACGTGGTGAAAGGAGGAATCCACAGTTTTTTGTTGAAAGACATGTTCATCACACTGTTGGAGTTATGGTTTGGGGTACTTTAGCTTATGGTTCCAGGTCACCTTTAATCTTCATCAGAGGTAACATGAACGCGCAGCGTTATATCCACGAAGTTCTAGAACCTCATCTTTTACCCTATCTTGACACCCTGGCAGATCCAACTTTACAACACGATAATCTCCGACCACATGTTGCAAGAGTCACAATAGACTTCTTTCAACATAATGATGTCACATTGTTACCATGGCCACCAAGATCTCCCGACTTATCCCCAATTGAGCACGTGTGGGATATTATGGGTAGGATATTGCTCAATTTGCAACGTCCTCCTCAGACTCTAGAAGCACTTCGAGAGGAGTTGGTGGTTGCCTGGAATGAGATACCACAGGAGGACATTGACCACCTGATCAGAAGCATGCCTGGGCGCGTTGGAGAATGCGTAGCACATCAGGGTGCATCCACACATTATTAAAGGTCAAAGGGCTTTAAAGCAGTGCAATCATTTTGAAATTTTTATCATTTACTTATTATGCTTCATTAAGTACTTATACAAAATTTTATTAAAATAAAACCATTTAAACTGAGTGTTCGGATTTATATATGTCACTTAGTATATAAACATAACTAACAATTCGGATAGCAATTTCAAATAAAATGAATAGTTTTATGGCAAATTCAGTCAAAAACCTGACATTAACAACATTGATTTGGAGGTTGCTAAGCGAAAATTTTTAGGGAAACTTAAAAAAAGTGACGACGAGATTTTGCAGATCGAGCAAGTCACCAAATCACAGGACTGTACTTTGTCGCGCCTTCATCGGAGGATAAGGTTGACAGCGTCTCGATTTGGTGAAGTTTGTAGAAGAAGGCAGACAACAAGCTGTAAAGTTCTAGTAAACTCCATCATATACTCAACAGAGTTTTCTAGTAACGCAATAAAAAAGGCAATACAAAAATCATTGGACACCGCAGTTCAGTCTTGTGGTTTGTTTATTGATCGCACATCTACCTATCACAGTAGACAAGAAATGTACTTAATCCAGGTATAACCCTACCTGTTTATTGCTTCGGAAAAACTACCTAACTGTTTCCTTTTTTTTATGACTCTAATTCAATTGTTACCATGTACCACATGACCGTTGTAAACATAATTGTGCTTACTGACACGAATAAACGAATTGTAATTTGAGTTATTGAATTTATTTTAGGAAAGATATCAAATTATTTGAATACATTTTTTCTTAGTCGCAACGTACCGTCGCGTCGCTTGGACTGGCAGGACGAAACAGTAGACGAATTTCGAACAAAAACAGATTTGCACTTCACAGCTTACGTTTCATTTTTTATTATTTCCAAATGAC